TTTGAATCTTGCAGAGCGAAGTAACATCGTTGCAGATAATTTTCTATATCAGTCGATGTGTAGAAAGTTTCGTTCTCTTTTTCGGTAATTTGAAGGTTTTAATAAAAATTTCTCAACGAAGAGGTTCTTGGATGACGAAAAAATCTATGCAGGTATTTTCTCTAAATTCTCCCCGATTTGTGTTAAATGGTATTCTGGGACCATTGAAGAAATTTTTCAATATAGATACATGTATCCATATAAAGGACTCGACCCATTTTCTGTATTTTGAAGGTTTTGGACTAATGATCAAAACGAAGTATCTGTAACATGGCATTCCAGGATTTTTTAGGGTCCCGTGTCCCATGCTATGTTAACATGCATCAAGTCAGGTCTTCGGAAGGATTTGTGATAGGATGCTGAAATTTTGTATAGTGTTGTCTTTTGTCTGCAGTCATGTCAACCTCCAAGATGGGTTATATCGGTCAACGTTTAGACATAGCCCCCATATAAGGGTAACTCCCAATATTCGGTATTTTGGCGTTCTTGAGTGCATTTTTCAACCAAATTCGCTGAAATTTGGTACATTGGGTTCTTAGTGGTGACCAAATTTTCCCACTAAAACTTTTAAATATAGGATACATTTTTCTGTTAGACCCCATATAAAGATACCCTGCAATTTTCTGTATTTGGAGGGTTTTTGAGTGCGTTTTTAAACCGTATTCGCTGTAATTTGGCAGTTTGCGTTCTTATTGGGTTTCAAATATCTGCACTTAAAATTATAAGAATAGGTCTGCTTTGTCGGTATTTTTGGGTTGTTGAATGCGGTTTTAAACCGAATTCGCTGTAATTTGGAACATTCGATTATCATTGTGTACTAAAACGCTCCACTAAAAATTATAAATATATGACCACTTTTTCGAGTAGCATCCATATGACGGTACCTCTCAACCTCAATGAGGGTTTAAAAGGGCAATTTTCTACCGAATACGCTGAATTTTGTGGTCGTATATGGTATATGGAGCTATATCTAATCCTGAACATATTTCTGTACGTTGTGCAAAATTGTGTGGCAATCGGCCAAACCATTTACTTAGAATCTAATGAAACTATATATGGGAGCTATATCTAAATCTAAACCAATTTTTTTTCATTTTCAATAGGGTTCGTCCTAAGGCCGAATAAATAAATGCGCTGGGAAAAATTTTATCCAATTCGGATCATAAATGCGACCTGTACAGACAGACATGCATAAACCGACTCAGAAAGTGATTATATGCATATACTCAAAAGGAACCATGCGTCTATCTCGTTTCCTTTAGCCTGTTCCACAGTGTAGTGAAGGGTAAAAATATTAGGTTCGGAATTGAGCTATATCGGTCCTCAATTACGCATAACCTTTTTTATTATAAAAACGCCAAATATTTGGTAATTCCTACTCAATGTTGTCAATATTGCCCCAGCTTTAGGTATGCCTCATATAACTTTGCCCTCTAAATTGCAGTGTTTTGAGGATTTCATACGCACGTGTCGCCCTACCATGCGTTAATAATAAGGTCCATATTTTGGGGTTCTGAGTTTTTAGGAAACCCCACCCTAAAATTGCTGAAATTTGGTCTACATAATGGTTTGCAATAATTGATTGGTACAATTTTCGTTATAGGTCCACTTTTTGGTATGTTCCCTATATTTTCATTTCAAGTATCTGTCAATATTCCTATGGTGGAGGGTATCCATATTATGGGGGATATGCTGTACTCAAAATTGTCAGTTTATACCATACAATTTAGTAGGTTTAGCCAACCAATTTATTTTATACCCTTCACCACACTGTGGTACAGGGTATTATGTCTTTGTGCATATGTTTGTAACAGGCAAAAGGAAACGAGATAGACCCATGGTTCCTTTTGATAATATACATAGAATCACTTTTTAAGTCGATTTATGCATGTCCGTCCGTCCGTCTGTCTGTCTGTCCATGTATTTTTGTGAGCAAAGTACAGGTCGCATTTATGATCCGAACTGGAAGAAATTTGGCACAGCTTATTTGTTTGGCCCAAGGACGAACCCTATTGAAATTGGGAAAAATCGGTTCAGATTTAGATATAGCTCCCATATATATTTTCGTCCGATTTCATGTAAATAGTGTACCAAAGTCCGTATATATCTTTCGATTTGCACGAAATTTGGTATAACGTACTGATTTGGGCCTAGAGTGATGTCTGCCAAATTTCGTGAAAATCGGTCCAGATTTGGATATAGCTCTCATATATAGTTTCGTCCGATTTCATGTAAATTATGCACCAAAGTCCCTATATATCTTTCGATTTGCACGAAATTTGGCATAACGTACTGAATTGAGCCTAGAATGATGTCTGCCAAGTTTCGAGAAAATCGGTATAGATTCAGATATAGCTCCCACATATAGTTTCGTCCGATTTCATGTAAATGGTGCACCAAAGTCCCTATATATCTTTCGATTTGTACGAAATTTGACATAACGTACTGAATTGAGCCTAGAATGATGTCTGCCAAGTTTCGTGAAAATCGGCCCAGATTTAGATATAGCTCCCATATATAGTTTCGTCCGATTTCATGTAAATAGTGCACCAAAGTCCCTATATATCTTTCGATTTGCACGAAATTTGGCATAACGTACTGAATTGATGCTGGAATGATATGTGCTGAGTTTCGTGAAAATCGATTCAGATCTAGGTATGTATATTTTCGCCCGTTTAATCTTAATAATGTACCAAGTTCTTATGTTGCATAGCGTTTTAAATTTAATCCAGAATGATGTGTGCCAAGTTTCGTGAAAATCGGTCAAGACTTAGATATAACTCCCATATATATTTTCGTCCGATTTAATGTAAATGGTGCACCACATGTATCTTTCGATTTACACAAAATTTGGCATAGCGTTCTGAATTGATGCTGGAATGATGTGTGCTGAGTTTCGTGAAAATCGATTGAGATCTAGATATATTTTCGTCCGATTTAATCTAAATAAGGTTTTATGTTGCATAGCGTTTTGAATTTAATCCAGAATGATGTGTGCCAAGTTTAGTGAAAATCGGTTGAGATATAGATATATATTATAGATTGATTTTAAGTAAATGACGCACCAAGGAACCAATATATGTCTGATAGGAACAAAATGTACTGAAATTAGTATAACCTAACCTGTGACAAGTTTCGTTGAAATCGGTTCATATTTGGATATAGCATCCATATATAAATAAATTGTGCATCAAACTCCTCATAGCCCAACGGATGATATTTGTTTGAAGTCGATTTACATACTTTTGTTCCATTGTAACAAACGAATGACATGTTTATGGATAGATCTAGGTCGTTTCACATTTAGATAAATATCACATATTTTATTTCATACAATTTCATGATAATAGTCCTGTTTAATATACCCATAGTGGTGAAGGGTATCATATAGTCGGCCCCGTCCGACTTTACTACTTTCCTTACTGTTTTTTTTTTTTTTTTTTTTTTTTTTGAAGACTGTAGCTGCTTTCTCCAAACGAAGATAATGTAATTTGGCTTTCTGGACTCTTGAAAATAAACTACGGAGACAATGTTCGACATCGATAGATGTTTCGATATTCGACATTTTATTGGAATTACTTAAACAAATCTCTGCCGGAAATCTTAGCCTTTGTTTCCATTCTGGACATCTGTATATTTAAGAAATATTGAATACACAAGTTGGATGGTGAAAAAAAGGCTAGCTTAGCTAACTACAAATTGACTTACACTGTTACATCCCTCATATATCAATCCGTACTAAACCTATCTATATCATTATTGCTTACAACGCGATACTAAATATATAGACGACAAACTATATTCTATCGAGATTTATCGATGTTAATATATCGTGTTCTCACTGGCGCCGACAATAATTACTCCCCCATTAGGTCACTTTGCATTTCAACATGAATTTCAAATAAAATCTCAAATTACCCAGTGTGTGAACTAAATACAAACAAATACAAATTTTCAATGATGACGATTTTAGCTGGATGTTCCCGATGATGTGTATTCTCGCAGTATTTGAATGAGCGACCGGCCATCTGACATACTTACCAGCTGATATAAAAGATCATCTCTCCGACTTTCCGAATTTCAACGTTCATTGTGATCACAAAAAAGCTGCATTTCGTATTTGTTGTGGTTACTCAGTGTGGATAAATTTCTCAATTGGTGGTGATATGTAGCTGTGGCGGCTACCGCTTTCGGAATCTCTCACTCAACGGTTGGGGGCCTATCAAAGGTTTTGTGATTTGTTTAGCTAACAGATCGTTTAGTTGTTCGTCAAAGCTTCGACTAATTAGAACGCTGCATATTTACGCTCTGCTTTCGATGCATTTGAATATTAACAGCGACAACAACAATAAAAACAAATCAACAAATCCAGGCCCCCACCCTCTCAGCCATAATATTCAATAACATACATATTGAATGTTTAATGGGCCCAGTGTGTGTGTGTGTGTTCGTTTGAGTGTGTGTGACCGCTTTTTGAATGAAAAAATTAATATTAATTAAAAACTGCGAATGAAGACGAAAAAACAACAACAAATGACCAACAAATAAAAAGATTAATTAAAATTAGTGCTAAATTTATTAACAAAAAAAAAAAAACAAAACAAAAAATCCGGAAATAACGAGGCGTAGAAATCTCCATCGCGTTCAAGTGAAAAACACAAATCTCATTACCGTGATCCGTTTCTTTATTATTTGAACGCGTTCTTAAAATAACAACAATAAATAAATCATACTTTGTTGTCGTATGTCAGCCAGTCAGTCGGTCAGTCTGAATGTGCGTTCTTAATAAAATATTTTCAATGTCAAGTTCATAGAAATTTTGTTTTTATTTGTCTGAGTGTGTGCCTGTGCAAAATATAAAAAGCCCGCCCAGTGGGGCAAAGTAAATATCACAACGTAAAGATAATACAAAACACACACACACTTCAATTACAAAGATATTTACATTTGCCGGCAAACTCTAGATCTGCCCCGTCATTATGGTCTACGAGACGTCATATGAAAGCGGGCGCCAGCCTTTTGTTCCCGACACTCAACGCGGCAATTGGCTGCATCCTAATGATTTTATTTATGCCGGCCTAAGTTTGGCATTTCGTGTTGATATCTTCTCCATGTCTTGGTATTTGTCAATGGAATCGGGAGGTAAGTTTGTGATATTTCCGAACAAGCAAATGTGTAAGTAGAATCTAATTGTATGATATTATTTCGAGGTGATAAGTAATTAAATTAAAGCAGCTTGACAAAAAAACATTAAATAAATTTAAAGAATTTCAAACGTGAAAACGCCATCAAGAAAATGTTGAAACTTTGGAAATCAGTCAATCACAGCATAAAGAATTTGGGCAGTATGACCACATAATAAAAATAAATTTTGCAATTAAAACGGGATTTAAAAATACGTACGTTATTATATCAAAACCCTCATACGAATACTTAGAAAACCTGTTCGGTCTTCCAAGATATTTGTTCGACATAATGAAATTTATTTATAATTAACATTTTGGACGAGTCCAAAAATTATTCATAATCAAGAATTTATACTGAATTTACTGAAATATATAGATGCAGCATTTCTTAGATTAAAATAGAAAAAAAGAAATCTAACAAGTGAAAAAAGCGTTAATTTCGGCCGGGTCGAACTTTGGATACCCTCCACCATAGGTATACTGAAAGGTACTTGAAATGAAAATATAGGGAGCATGCCATAAAGTGGACCTATACCGATAATTCTACAAACCGATATGTACACCAAATACAAATTTCCACGATTATTAATCGACATTTTTCATAAAATCTAATAACCCCAAAACGTGGACCTATAATGATTACGCATGGTGGAGTGAAACATGTGTATGAAATCTTCAAACTACTGTAATTTAGATTGCAATGTTATATGAGGCTATGTCTAAAGGGGGACCAATATTGATTACATTGTATAGGAATTAACGAATATTTGGAGTTATCATTATATGAGGGGCAATGCCTAATTAAGGACCGAAATAGCTCAATTTCAATACTTGGCTTCAGGAGGTATCATTTTATGGGGGTGATGTCTAAGTGCTGACCTATATATTTCATTATCAGATTCGATTTTTTTATCAAGACATCCTTAGAAGGCGGTAGGGTAAAAACTTACAAATTCGAGTAACGAATATCCTCCATACTATAATAGAATACGCCTATATGGGGACAACACCAACAAACGGAACAAATCAGATAACTATTTTAATATAAAAAGGGGGTTATATGGGGACTACCCCTAAAAGGGTGCGATTATTAATAATGTTTGGTAGGGAGATTTGTTACCATATACGACTCTTGTGACAGAACTTTCGTTCCATAAGCCGAGCTTAAACAGATTTCCAGGCGCGTCCGTCTTTTGCGCAGGTTTTCCAGTTTGAAAGATCATATTCGGCAATGTTGTCTTCCACTTCATTTTTCCATCTTATTCGTGGCCTTCCCCTTCTGCGTGAGCCATCAGCTGGTTCGCTTTTATATGCCTTTTCGGTTGGGGCATCTTCATCCATTCTCACAACATGGCCTAGCCAACGTAGTCGCTGCAGCTCGATACGACTGACTATTTCGATGTCCGCGTATAGATTGTAAAGCTCGTGGTTCATTCGACGCCGATATTCAGCGTCGTCGCAGATTGGCCAATAGATCTTCCGGAGAATTTTTTCTCTCAAACACCCCAAGAGCTGCCTCATGTGCTTGCGCAAGTACCCATGCTTCAGATCCATATAACAGAACGGGTAGTATCAGCGTCTTGTAGAGTGTGAGTTTGGTCTGGCGGGAGGTGGCCTTGCTTTTGAGTTGCTTACTCAGACCATAGTAGCATCTGTTGGCCATCACTATCCTTCTCCGAATTTCAAAACTGATGTCATTAGTTTTTTTATGGCGGAACAACGTATATAAAATCGTTGACTACCTCGAAGATGTAGTTCTCAAGTTCCACAGTTGGTCCACAGTTGGTTAAAAATGTCACACGACTAACTGTCACATTGTCTGAATCCTCGTTCGGTATTAAAGGGCTCCGATCTAGTGCCAGTTAAAGTTATCCCTCATAGCCGTATTAATTTTTCAGGAATGCCAAACGTAGACATGGCTTTATACACCTCTGAACGGATAGGGCTATCGAATGCGGCTTTATAGTCGACGAATGTTTCGATGTGGTATGTTTCGATGTGTTTTTGGTGGGTTTTTCCAGAATTTGACGCAGATTGAAAATCTGGTCAATGGTGCACTTGCCAGGTCTGAAGCCGCATTGGTATGGTCCAATAATGTCATTGACCATTGGCTTCAGTCGTTCACAAAGTACGCTGGATAGCACTTTATATGCGATGGGAAGGAGACTTATTAATCTATAATTGGCACATATCGTCTTGTTTCCTTTTTTGTGCGCGGGACACAGGATGCTGAGGTTCCAATCATTGGGCATGCATTCCTCTAGCCAAATTTTACTAATCAGCTGGTGTATGCTCCTGACCAGCATCTGACCACCAGTCTTGAATAGTTCGGCTTGTAACCCATCGACACCTGCTTCTTTATTATTCTTCATTGCTATTCTGACCTCATCTTGGCTAGGTGGTATACACTCTATACCGTCATCTATTATTGGTTCTGGGGTATCCTCTTCACCGCTACTATTTGATACCAGAAGTTTTTCGGAATGCTCCTTCCAGATCCTCAGCACGCTGCCTGTATCTATCACCAGGTTTCCCTCTCCATCTCTACAGAAGGATGTGCCTGCACCAAAGCCTTTGGTTTGGTGTTCAGACTTCATTCTGACTCCTGTACATCTCGATTTGCTCACGCTCCCGTCTATCACAACATGGTCAATTTGATTTCTCGTTGCTTGATCAGGAGAAATCCAGGTGACCTTGTGTTTATGAATCTTGTGAGATGATCTGGTGCTGCTAACTACCATGTTTTTTGCTCCCGCGAAGTCAATCAACCACATGCCGTTGTCGGATGTTTCTTCATGGAGGTTGAATTTTCCGACGGTGGGACCAGAAATATTTTCACTTCCGATTTTTGCATTAAAATCTCCTAGCAGAATTTTAATGTCATGGCGAGGGCAGCAGTCATATGCAGCTTCCAGGTGCTTGTAAAAAATGTCATTGGTCTGTTCATCTTTGTCTTCGGTCGGAGCATGGGCGCAAATAAGACTGATGTAGAAGAACTTCGCTTTTATACGGATTATAGCAATTCGCTCATCTACTGGAGTAAATCTGGAGACGAGGTCTTTTATTCTCCTATTAACAATAAATCCGCAGCCAAATTCACGTCTCGTTTCATGGCAGCTATAATACAGGGCGTAATCATCTGATTTACTTACGCGAGTTCCTTTCCATCGCATTTCCTGTAAGGCAATAATATCGGCTTTGTACTTCTTGAGATTCACAGATCGTGGTCCTTTATGCGTTTGTGGGGGTCGTCAACATTGGGGGGATTGGTTTTCTTTTTCGTTGCTTTTTCATAGTAAGAGGGGGCTTCCGAGTGTGGGCAACTAACCCGACGATATATAACAAACGAATATCAAAAGTAATATAATCAGTGTTATTTCGAGCTTTTACATATGAAAATGTTTAATAATCAATCCTGATATACTGTGTCTGATTTCTATACTGTGGTTTTTAACTAAAAATTGCAGTTTATTTAAAGGTCCTTTAAAATTTCCACAAAATTGTATATATTTTTCAACTCTGAAAAGATGACTTCAAGACCTTTCTAATAATGACCCGCTGGTAGACTGTTTTCGAACCGTTTAGGAGGAGATGAAGATATCTCGAATCTAAAAAGATATAGGATATATCAGAATTATTTACTATATTTTTATGTCCGTGTAATATAGTCAAAGAAGTCAAATGTTCTTTACAGGTTTGATACACTAAAATAAATTTCCATTCTGTAAAGAAATATTCGAATTGAAATGTATATACGGGTATGTATCATTTCATCTTAATAGGTAATACCCGGGTAAATATATACTAAACAACATCTATATATGTACATATTCATATTTAAATATAATAATAATTGTAATCTTTATTCGTTTCGATTATGGGTTTGTGGTTATCAACAAGCCGTATTTATTCTCATGTTTGCAATAGGTGCGATGTACCTACATACATACCTATACCAAAGGCCACCACAATGATTATTATTTTATTACTGTTTTTTTTATTATATATATATTTTTTATTATATTATTAATTTGAATTTCAAAGAAATATAAAAAATAGATTTTTTAAAATATTGAAGATTACATTCTACAAACGATTTAATAGAAATGGTTCACCAAAGTTTCTATATATCTTTCGATTTGCACGAAATTTGGCATAGCGTACCGAATTGGATCTAAAATTATATGTGTCAAGTTTCGTAAAATCGGTATATAGCTCCCTCATGTGTTTTCATCCGATTTTACTTAAATGCTGCACCAAAGTCCCTATATCTCTTTTGATTTGCACGAAATTTGGCATAGTGTACTGAATAGAGTCTAGAATGATGTCTGCTTAGATTCGTGAAAATAAGTTCAGATATATATATAGCTCCCATATATATTTTCGTTCGATTTAATTTAAATGGTGCACCAAAGTCCCTATATATCTTTCGATTTGCCAAAAATAGAAGATGCGCATTTTGAAAGTTTACGTCGGGAGGTAACCTAAAAAGGCGTGGCAATATTTCCCATTTCGAAGACATTTGAAAATATTATTATTAAGATTTCTCCAAATCGTTGCATTTTACGTATATGGTGTCTTGGACAAAATTACTGATATAAACTTTCGCATCCTGCAGCAAAGGCGCTATCCAAAATTTATCTCGACACAAAATCCAATACACATTATTGTAGGTTCCATTTGATAAGTTATGCACTAATTCGTCCAAATCAGACAAACTTCAGATATTTGGTACACCGTTTAATGAAATCGGATGAAAACATGTTTGGAACCTATATCTAAACTTGAAACTACTTCAATCCAATTCGCTATGCTATATTTCATGTAAAGACATAGGCTCCTCCATTTGCATAAAATCGGAATAACAAAAAATACCGTGCAAACAGAACAGGATCTATGGTGCACAATATACATAAAATGGGACTACATAAATGGGACTACGGATATCAACCTGTAATTACTTCAATACGCTATGCAAAATTTTGTCTCAATCGGACAAACCTCGCATACATCAATCTGGACCTAGTTCAGTACTTTGTGCAAAATTTTATCTCAATCGGACCAATATTTGGAGTTTGGGGCACCATTAACATAAAATCTATTTATATAATCTATTGCATAAAACTATATATGGGAGCTATACCGAAATCTGGACCGGTTTAAACAAAACTAGGCATATATCAATCAAGACCTTGGGACAAATAAGTGGCATGTGCCAAATTTCATCCAAATCAGATCATAAATGCGACCTGTACTTTGTTCACAAAAATACGTGGACAGACGCACATGCATATATCGACTCAGAAAGTGATTCTTTGCATATTCTCAAAAGGAGCCATGGGTCTATCTCGATTCCTTTTGCATGTTACAAACATATGCACAAAAACATAATACCCTGTACCACAGTGTGGTGAGGGTATAAATAGCAATTTTTTCGTTGAAATTTCTCAGTACTTTATGATATTAAATGATATTTTTTTTTTTTTTTTTGAAAACAAAGTAATGCAATTTGTAAAATACAAACATAAAAAAATCGAAGTTAAAGTCAAAAATTTTCAAATTAAAAAAAAAAATTAAGTCGGAAATGCACGCGGACAAAACTGAAGCACCTCCTGATTTAAAATACAGAAAAAACTATTAAACTCAATATTTCGTTGCGTATACTTTACTCTAGTATACACTCGCACATCTTTAAAGGACATTAAAATAGTACTCATTTCAGGCTATTATTCCGGCTTGAATTTCGTTCGTAAACAAAGTACAGGTCGCATTTATGATCAGAATTGGATGAAATTTGGCATAGGTGACATATATATATATATATATATTAGATATAGCTCCCATATATATTTTCGTCCGATTTAATGTAAATGGTTTACCAAAGTCCCTATATATCTTTCGATTTGTACAAAATTTGGCATAGCGTATTGAATTAGGTCAAGAATGATGTATGTTAAGTTTCCTGAAAATCAGTCCAGATTTAAATATAGCTCCCATATATATTTTCGTCCGATTTAATGTAAATGGTGTGCCAAAGTCCCTATATATCTTTCGATTTGCACGAAATTTGGTCTAGATTAGGTCTAGAATGATGTATGTTAAGTTTCCTGGAAATCGGTCCAGATTTAGATATAGCTTCTATATATATTTTCGTCCGATCATTCGATTTGCACGAAATTTGGCATAGTGTACTGAATTGAGTCTAGAATGACGTGTGTCAAGTTTCGAGAAAATTTGATCAGATTTTGATATAGCTCCTATATACACATATTTTCGTCCGATTTAAGGTAAATGGGGCATCAAAGACCCTAAATACCTTTCGATTTATACGAAATTTGTCATGGGGTACTGGATCAGGTCTAGAATGATGTGTGCTAAGTTTCGTGAAAATCGATTCAGATGTAGATATAGCTCCCATATATATTTTGGTCCGATTTTATGTAAATGATGCATTAAAGTCTCTATATATCTTTCTATTTGTACGAATTTTTTCATAGTGTACTGAATTGCGTCTAGAATTACATATGTTAAGTTTCGTGAAAATCGGTTCAGATGTAGATATAGTTCCCATATATATTTTCGTCCGATTTAAGGTAAATTGTACAACAATAACCCAAAGTTTGGCGTACTGGCACACACTTTTGTACAATTTGCTGAAGTTACTATAACCTTTCGTGTGTCAAGTTTTCTTGAAATCGGTTTAGATTTACAGATAGCTCCTATATATACTTTTGTCCAATTTTAAGTAAATGGTACACTAAATATAAATTAATCTCTGGCAAGTTTCCTTGTAATCGGTTCAGATTTAGATGTAATATAGTTTCCATATATATTTTCCTGATTGATATTATATTTTAATAGAGTGTGTAATGTTAAGATCACATATTTAAGTTCATTCAATTTCATGTCAATGTTCCTTCGAAATGGCGACATCTGTTTGGATACATATGTAGAATATACCTAAAATGGTGAGGTGTATCATATAATCGGCCCAGTTCGACTTTACTATTTTCCTTACTGATTTCGGTTAATTTTAGTAAATGGTCTCCGTAGAGTGGTCCTTTCATGGCGAACACCCTATTTCACTCTTCGACTTCTTGTTTTTGAATTTCGCCTATAACTGGCGTTCACGCGTAAAATTGATTATAATTATTGATAATTATCCAACATTTCCAAATAGGAGGGTGGTCCAACAAACACATTTCGACAAGTCAAGGATCGCTAAAACCGTTCAGGTTCAGTCCTCTGCATATGGCGTGTAAATTAAATGTATGAAATCTACGTTAATATTGAACAATTCGATACCAACTTTTCATCAGAGGGAACATTTTTGCTAACAACGTATTTACTAATTTACTGGGGACAGAAGTGAAGTCAGACTGTAAGGCTCATCTCTGCTGGTATCTTTGATTTGTTTCGGTAGCGGCTGGCGAAGGGTTGAATACAGCTGTTCCATCCGATCCAATGCTTTGGATGTCTTAGCGGTTCATATGACAACCTTCGTAAATTGTGGTGATACCTCCTCGGCTCGGATGGTTCTTATATGACAAAGACAGGGGCGTACACAGGGGTCCAGGACTTACAATGGCGTTCAGAGGTTCAGAAATGAGGTAGTCTATACACAGGTAGTAAACAACAGACAGAGAGAGGGGGCAGGGGCTAGGCCCCCTGGCCTTAAATATTTTCATCATTTTGATAAATAACAAAATATCCGACGTAAAAATATGAAAATGATTATAACTGCATTCTTTGCAATATATCCCTTTTTTTTAATTTGTATCATATTCGGCGAATGATGATTTTTCCTTCATTACAGTGGTTTCATTTCTACCGGTTTATCTCATAAGTTTGGCCGTCTACATAATACCCTTTATTGTGATACAATCGTTTATGGGTCAATTTTCCAGCAGTGGATTTATATCGGCATTTCGTCTATCGCCGTTATTTAAAGGTAATATTAAAAATAATTATTAATATTAAAAAACTTTAAAAATAATAAATAATAAAAAATCCCAGGAATTGGTTATGTGACGCTGGCTATGAATATATGTGTGCTCACTTACTACAGTATATTTGCCATGGTACCATTGCTCTACTTCTTTGCATCGCTGAATCCCACATTGCCATGGAGTTGTGAAGGATTTAAAAAATGGGCCCAAAACTTAACCGATGAACAAGAAATCAATGTAAGTTGTAAAAAGGATGTCAATTCATTCAATTTGAATAAATAATAAAATTTTGAATTTTTATCTTTCAGTTATGTAATATGAAATTTGGTAACCTTACCGAATCCAATGAAGGCAGTGGTTCGGGAGATAGCAGCAATGAAACATCAATGTCATATAATGATAATTATATTAATCATCATATACCATCGGTTTTATATTTTCAGTAAGTTACAACAACAAGTTTGTTGTTGTTGGTATTCCTGTCCTTTTTATAGTCCATACCTTTTATAGTCCGTCTGTCATTTGGCTAACAAAGTGCAGGTCGCATTTATGTCCCGAATGAAACGAAACCCCTATTGAAATTTCGGAAAATCGGTTTACTCTTCCGATTTCATGCAAATTGTGCACCAAATTCCTAACCTGTGTCCGATTGCTACGACATTTTACACAGCGTACCAAACTGACGTAAAGTTCTATTGAAATCGGTGAAGTTTTAGATGTACCTTCCATATATTTTTTCTATGATTTCATGCGAATTTGTAGATTTGTGTTAAGTTTGTTTCGATGTCAATGGTCCTCCATAGATGCTACTTCTATTGTACACATACAACAAAAATCATTGAATATGGCATTTATTAAGATTGGTTTAAATCGGTATTAAAGATTACAACAACAACAAAAACTTAAGATTGCCTCTTGTGTACACTCTATGTGGTGTAGGCTATCATATAATCAGTCCTGTCCGATTTTGGTCATTCCCTTATTATTTTTTCTTTCTTTTGTTTTAGTTCCCTTTTCCATGATGTAAATATGTTCCACTATGATGATGTGGAGTTTTCTATGTCCTGGCAATTGATTCTTTGTGCTTTGTTGGTGTGGGTCATAGTTGCAGTTATAGTCTATAAATTCTTCAAAACAGAAACGGTAAGTAAGGATAACGTATATTTTATTAGTAAAAAACAATATTTTTAAATATTCCACGTCTCCATTGCCTTTGAAAATCAAAATATTCTTTAACAAAAAATCCACGCCTCCGTTGCCATAAAAATATTCTTTAAAGATTTGTGAATATGAAAATATTATTTAAAAAATCCGCGACTCTGTGGTCCTCGAAAAAATAATTAGTCTTTAAAATGCCTATGCATCTGTAGACCTTAAAAAATATTCTTAAAACCCTACATCAGAAAAGATTTTATTTTAAAAACTACGTCAAAAAAAAAACAAGTGAAAAAGCGTTAAGTTCGGCCGGGCCGAACTTTGGATACCCTCCACCATAGATATACTGACAGGTACTTGAAAAAGGGTGGCGTAGGGGAAAATACCAAAAAGTGGACCTATATCGACATTTCCACAAACCGGTTATGTAAACCACAATGCAAACTATAAAACAAATTTCAGAAATTTTTAATGGACAATTGAGGGTATATTTGTCCATTAGAAATTTATGGATAATGAGGGTGTATACACTTTGACACGGTTAAAATGGTTCTAGACCCCATATTTCTTTGGCCCAAATTGTTCTAGAAAAGTTTGATTTCATCCAAACTTTGACCATCTTATTATTTCTTCCAAATTTAGTTCAAGTTCGAAGATGGGGAATATCGGTCCACTCCATCTGGTACCTCCCACACAGGGGCTAGGTGATATGATTACAACAGAGTCTTAGAACCAAATCCAAAACGCGGAACAATTTGCATAACTATTTTAATATAAACAAGTGAAAAAGCGTTAAGTTCGGCCGGGCCGAACTTTGGATACCCTCCACCATAGTTATACTGACAGGTACATGCAATGAAAATATAGGGAACATACCAAAAAGTGGGTATATATCGATAATTCTACAAACCGATTTATGTAAACCATTATCTACACCAAATACAAATTTCAGAAATTTAAATGGTGATTTTTCCTAAAATCTGTAAGCTCCAAAAAGTGGACTGATACTAATATTGAGGGACCAATATTGATTACATAGTGTAGGAACTAGTGAATATTTGGGGATATCATTATATGAGGGCTATACCTAATTAATGACCGGTATATGCCAATTTTGAACCCAATATTTTAATTGTTTATCTCAATTCTTTCCTTCAGGAGGTATCGCAATATTGAGGAGATGCCTAAATGTCTGCCGATATATTTCATTATCATCATGTTTGAGTTTTTTTATCACAATATCTTTAGAAGGCGGAATGCTTACAACAGATAGCTAAATAGTCTTTGCAGGGTAAAAATTGACTATTCCCCGTAACGACTACACAACCGCAACACACGGAACAAATCAGATAACTATTTTAATATAAACAAGTAAAAAAGCGTTAAGTTCGGCCGGGCCGAACTTTGGATACCCTCCACCATAGAAATTCTAAAAAAAAATTTTAAATAAAAATATAGGGAACATATATATAACTGCAATTCTACCGATTGTTGCAACCAAAATAGAAATTTCAGTAATGTCAATCTCAAAACCCCAAAATGTTGACATAGTAGGGTGAAACATGTGTATAAAATCCTGAAAATACTCCAATTAAGAGGCCAAATTTATAAGAGGCATACTAAAGCGGGACCAATATTAACAACGTTGTGTAGGAATTAGCGAATACGTGGTGTTTTTATTAAATAAGAGGTTATTCCTAATCAATGGCCGATATAGCTCAAGCTCCAAGCTAATAATATAGTTTTGAATCCCAATACCGTTCATCACGCTAAATATTAAATATGTAGGATGTTTTATGTAGGACCTAGGCCTACACGTTCTACTTTTTAAGTCAATATCCTCCAATAGAAAAGTGATTACAACATATGGCCAAATCGACTATATCGTTTTAAAATTCCATACTGCAGGGTATGAACTGAGAATTTCGTCTATAGATAACCCCAACACACGGAACAAATTTGCTAACTATTTTAATATAAAAAAGGGGGTTATATGGGGACTACACCTAAAATGGGGTGAATATTAATAATTTTTGGTAGGGAGATTTGTTACCAAATACGACTACAAAATACCAAATTACAGCAAATTCGGTTGAAAAACGCGCTCAAGAATCCCAAAATACCGAAACTTGGGGGCTATCAGAAAAAGTGGACCTATGTTTATAATTTTTGGTTTAGATATTTGGCACCAAATAAGAACCCAATGTACCAAATTTCAGCGAATTCGGTTGAAAAACGCGCTCAAGATCCCCCAAATACCGAAAATTGGGTGGTACCCTTATATGGGGGCTATCCGAAAAAATGGACCTATATGGTGGGAAGTTTTGCTATCCAATAAGAACTCAAAGTATCAAATTTCAGCGAATTCGGTTGAAGAACGCACTCAAGAACTTCAAAATACCGAAAATTTGGGGGTACCCTTATATGGGGGCTATCAGAAAATGTAGACCGATGTGTATAATTTTTTGCGTAGATGTTTGACACTAAATAAGAACCCAATGTACAAAATTTAAGCGAATTCGGTTGAAAACGTGCTCAAGATCCCCAAAATACCGAAAATTCGGAGGTACCCTTATATGGGAGCTATGCCTAAACGTGGACCATCTTCGAACTTGACCTGCCTGCAGACAAAAGACGACTCTATGCAAATTTTTGTCGATCTATCTCAATTCGTTTAGACGCTAGAGTGATTACAACAGACGGACAGACGGACATGCTTAAATCGTCCTAGAATTTTGCACTGATCAAGTATATATATACTTTATAGGGTCGGAAATGATTATTTCGATGCGTTACAAACGGAAAAACAAAACTAATATACCCTCCATACTATGGTGGAGGGTATAAAAATGGGGTTATATGGGGACTACCCCTAAAAAGCGGTGAATATTAATAATTTTTGGTGGGGAGATTTGTTACCATATACGACTACAAAATACCAAATTTCAGAGAATTCGGTTGAAAAACGCGCTCAAGAACCTCAAAATACTGAAAATTGGGGATACCCTTATATGGGGGCTGTCCGAAAAAATTGACCTATATTTATAATTTTTGATGGGGAGATTTGCTACATAATAAGAACTCGAAGTACCAAATTTCAGCGAATTCGGTAGAAAAACTCGCTCAAGAACTTCAAAATACCGAAAATTGGGAGGTACCCTTATATGGGAGTTATGCCTAAACGTGGACCGATATAGCCCATCATCGAACTTGACCTGCCTGCAGACAAAAGACGACTCTATGCAAAATTTTGGGGCTCTATCTCAATTCGTTTAGACGCTAGAGTGATTACAACAGACAGACGGACGTGCTTAGATCGTCTTAGAATTTTACGCTGATCAAGAATATATATACTTTATAGGGTCCGAAATGATTATTTCGATGCGTTACAAACGGAAAAACAAAACTAATATACCCTACATACTATGGTGGAGGGTATAAAAAACAAATTATTATATATAACCTCACCCGAAAAAAAAAAATTCTTAAAAAAATCCCCGATTCTGTTAAAAAGCCTACTCCTGGAAAAATATTTAAACGTCAACGCCTTAATAAATATTCTATACCTCTATGGTCCTTAAAAAATTACCATAAAATCCACGGCTCGATGGTCCTTGAAAAAATATTTTATCATCAAATCCACGCCTCTGTGGTCCTTGAAAAATATTTTATCATAAAATCCACGCCTCTATAGTCCTTGAAAAAATATTCTATCATAAAATCCACGCCTCTATGGCCCTTACAAAAATTATTTTATCATAAAATTCACGTCTTTATGGTCATTGAAAAAAATATTCTATAAAAAATTCAGAACTCTATGGTCAGTGAAAAAATATTCATTAATAATGCACGCTTCTATGGTTCTTGAAAAAGTTTTCTTATATTTAAAACAAATCCTCGCCTCTTAAATTCACGCCCCTATGGTCTCTGAAATAACTATTATTTAAAAATCCACGCATTTAAGGTACTTGAAAAAAATATTTTTAAATCCCCGCCTCTATGGTCCTTAAAAAATATATTCTTTAAAAAACCCACGCTTCCATGGTACTTGAAAAAATAGTCTTTAAAAATTCACGTCTCTACGCCCCTTATTTTTTTCGCCCAGCCTCTAAAGCACTTGAAAAAAACATTCAGTAAAAATGCCCGCCTCTATGTTTCTTAAAAACAAAATATTCTTGAAAACTTACTCCTCTACACGCCTGAATATTAAAAAATGTTTTTAAAAATCCTCTCCTCTATGGTTCATAAAGAAATTTAATTAAAATATCTACCATTGAAGAGTCGTTGAAAAATATGTTTTAAAAACATCTAAGCCTCAATATTCCTCGAATAAATATTTTTTAAGAATACGCGACTAAATATTCCTCCAAAAAAATATTTTGTTAAATAATCGACGCTTATATTTGTAATGGACCCTTCAAAAACTCAGTTTTACATTTCTAAAATGCCTTTTCAATCATTCCCAAAAATCCATTTATATATCTACTAGAACTATAAAAATCTTCCCTTTTATTACATATGTCCCTTAAATAATGTTCCTTATTTTTTTTAAATATAAATTAAAAAATGTACTATGGTTTCTTTTAAAATTTATTAAAAATTTTAATGTCGTTGGTCCTTGAAAAAATTATGTATTTAATCTATTGGCCAATTGATCCTTGAGACTTGAACCACAGCTAAGATGATATCCTTTTATATGTCGATGTCATTTTTCAGTTCGGTGTCATCATTCGTTACTGCGTTTGGACTTTGCTCGGTCTTCTGCTATTCCTTTTGATACGCTTCAGTTTCATACCTGGCGCAGAGAAAGTTTATCGTCATCTCTTTATACCAACTTGGCGAGATGTTGAAGTCGGCATTGCTGCCATACCCATTTATGGTATATCTGCATTTGGCCCCGGCTGGGGTCTATTTATAACCCTCTCCAGCTATAATAAATTCAAAACGAATATTGTAAAATATAGCTGGATAATTGGTTTGGGACAATTTTTCCTAATGTTGGGCATAGATATGTTGCAGAATTTTACAGAAGTCTATTTGAGAGGTAAGGAGGAACAATTAAAATTTTTAATATTTATTTCATACAAATGCAATTTGTATTTTAGTAAAAACGGACAATAATTATTACTCTGATGTTGAGAATATTTGGACGCTGTATTTGTCAAGCGGCAGTGTAATGGCAGATATGCCCTGGCCCAACTTTTGGTCTATGCTGTTGTATTTCATGTTATTCCTGAGTGCATTATTATTAATTGTAGGTATCTCATGGGCAAGTACCCTTGCCCTAACTTTGTGAAACTAATTTCATAAGAGAACTAAAATTGTTTCTCAAATTTCGTTTACAGCTCATTCAATTTAATTCAATTTTAACCACAATATTTGATGAATTTGTAAAACTGCGTGAAAAGAAGTTGGAAGTTGCAATGGGTCTAGTTGGCCTAATGACTGCTGTTTCCCTTTACTTTACGTCGAATGTAAGTATATCAAACATCTTATAAATCAAATAAATAATATTTAATTTAAATTTCAGCACGGCATTACCTACTTCACGGCCCTGGCAGTTGATACTTATACCACCCATACAGCAATTAATTTGCTATTAATATTAGTCGTACTCTGGATATATGGTCGCGTTCGTTTCCAACGTGATTTTGAATTTATGACAAATCATCGTTTCTCGACCTGGAATATTAATATTTTGAGATTTGTAGCACCCTTGGGTATGCTGGTGGCATTGGTAAGTAAAATAATATATTTAAAACATCCAAGCCTCAAGAGTTGTTGAAAAAATATTATGTTATAATCTACGCCTTAATATTACTTGAAAAAAAAATTATTTAAAAATCTTAGTAGTCCTTAAAAAAATTAATTAAAAAATCCACGCCTTCATAGTTCTTGTAAAAATATTATTTAAAAATCTAGTCCTTAGTAGTTCTTGAAAAAAATATTATTTACAAATCCACACCTCCAAAAAATATTATTTAAATATTATAAAAAATATTATTTAAAAATCCACACCTCCATAGTCCATTTAAAATTTCACGCCTCCATAGTCCTTGCCAAAAATATTTTTTACAAATCCACCCATCGTCCATTTAAAAATTCACGCCTCCATACTCCTTGCAAAAAATATTTTTTACAAATCCACGCCTCCATAGTCCTTGCAAAAAAAATATTTTTTACAAATCCACGCCTCCATAGTCCTTGCAAAAAAAATATTTTTTACAAATCCACGCCTCCATAGTCCTTGCAAAAAATATCTCTTACAAATCCACGCCTCCATAGTCCTTGCAAAAAATACTGTTTACAAATCCACGCCTCCATAGTCCTTGCAAAAAATATTTTTTACAAATCCACGCCTCCATAGTCCTTGCAAAAAATATTATTTACAAATCCAACCATCAAAATTCACGCTTGCATAGTACACGCCTCCATAGCCCTTGCAAAAAATATTTTTTACAAATCCACGCCTCCATAGTCCTTGCAAAAAATATCTCTTACAAATCCACGCCTCCATAGTCCTTGCAAAAAATACTGTTTACAAATCCACGCCTCCATAGTCCTTGCAAAAAATAGTTTTTACAAATCCATGCCTCCATAGTCCTTGCAAAAAATATTATTTACAAATCCAACCATCAAAATTCACGCTTGCATAGTACACGCCTCCATAGCCCTTGCAAAAAATATTTTTTACAAATCCACGCCTCCATAGTCCTTGCAAAAAATATCTCTTACAAATCCACGCCTCCATAGCCCTTGCAAAAAATATTTTTTACAAATCCACGCCTCTATAGTCCTTGCAAAAAATATTTTTTACAAATCCACGCCTCCATAGTCCTTGCAAAAAATATTTTTTACAAATCCACGCCTCCATAGTCCTTGCAAAAAATATTTCTTACAAATCCACGCCTCCATAGTCCTTGCAAAAAATACTGTTTACAAATCCAAGCCTCCATAGTCCTTGCCAAAAATATTATTTACAAATCCATGCCTCCATAGCCCTTGCAAAAAATATTATTTACAAATCCACGCATCCATAGTCCTTGCGAAAAGTATTATTTACAAATCCACGCCTCCATAGTCCCTGCAAATATTTAAATATTATAAAAAATATTATTTAAAAATCCATCCTCCATAGTCCTTGCTAAATTTTCCTTTAAAATATTCCACGCCCTATTAGTCTTTTAAAATTATTATTTGAGAAATCATGTCTGATAAATCCTTAAATGATTTTCTTTAAAATATCCACGTCTAAATAGTTCTTGAAAAAAAAATCTTAAAAAAAATCCACGCCTCCTATTTTAATTATTTTTTTAATTTTTTTTTCAATCTATATTTCTATTTTTTCCAGTTACTCGGCATAATTGTGGCCTTCTATGAGCACATGCTGTCCAATGTTTTCATAGCAATTTTGGGTTTCATATTTATGTTCCTACCCTGGCTATTTATACCCGGCTATGCCGCCCACTCAATGCTGCAAAGTTTGGGATCATTTAAGACACGTTTTCAACGATGCTGCCGCCCAACCGATTGGTATCCCACCCAGGCCGAAGATCGACAACGTTATGAGGAGGCAATGGGTAATATGGAAATTACCCATCAATTAAACGAAGTAACCGATGAGGTGCTATAATTTTGACATGCATGTACTTGAAATCGAGAGAATGTACAAAGATCATTTCAAAACCCAAGACATAAATGTGATAGCCGCCGCAACAACTGAGTCGAATAAATTCAAATGTAAATATGCTTCTTTTCGTTTTAGATAAATATAAAACCAAATATGAGATTGTTTTTTAAAAAATAAATTAAAATAATATATAGTTGAGAATAAGCTATTCAAATATATTTCTTAAATTGTCTTCTTCTTGAGATTATATTTTCTAAAAAATGGGTTTTAATATTTTTGTACATAATTTTTGGAATTATTTTCAACTTTAGTCACTATTTTGTTGAACACCTTTGCGTTTTATCTACGACTTCCTTAGCATTTCCACTTTCTCAAAGTTACGACTACTTAGCTCATCCATTAATTTTCTTGCGGTCTTAAATTCAGCATAGGCCACACGATAATCTTCTTGAGCTGGCAGCCAAAATTTCGCCTTCAACGAAGCCATGAAGTTTTCCTTAAGACTGCCTCGACGATGAAACAGAGTCCACAGCATATATAATGGAATGCAAATAATTGATATGGCACAACTGCACCAGCCCAAAGCCACGGCCCATTCAGGATAAACTTTATCATTGTAGCGAACCGGACGATTAAAAATAATGCTGGTGAAGAAAATAAACTGAAAAAATATGTTTTAACGATTTATTGAATAAAATATAAAATATATAAACAATCCACGACTTTATAGTCCTTGAAAAAATATTCTTTAAAAAATCCACTACTCTATAGTCCTTGAAAAAATATTCTTTAAAAAATCCACGACTTGTGTTGACAGACAGGATACTTGAAAAAATATTATTTAAAAAATTCACTACTCTATAGTCCTTGAAAAAAATATTCTTTAAAAAATCTACGACTCTATAGTCCATGAAAAAAATATTCTTAAAAAAATCCACGCCTCTGTAGTCCTTGAAAAAATATTATGTAAAAAATCCCCGCCTCTATAGTCCTTGAAAAAATATTCTTTAAAAAATCCACACCTCTACAGTCCTTTAAAAAATATTATTTAAAAAGCCACGCCTCTATAGTTCTTGAAAAAAAATTATTTAAAAAATCCACGCCTCTATAGTCATTGAAAAATATTATTTAAAAATCAACGGCTCTATAGTCTATAGTTCTTGAAAACCTGATTAGTCGTGTCCTTTGAAATAAAAATATTCTTTAAAAAATAGACGTTCCTGAAAGTTATCTTGAAAATATTCTTAAAAGAAACTACCCTTAAAATTGTACTTCAAAACTCTTATTGAAAAAAATAAACTCAAAGCCCTTGGCAAATCTTGAAAAATCCACACTTCAACTTACCACCAGTATACCTGGCGTAACATATTTCCAACAATAGAGCCATATTTTCTCAGGTTTCTTGCCAATCATAAAATAAATATCATCCAGAAAATTATCGACACCATAAATCCAGGATGCCATTATTACTTCCAGTATACAAATCAATATAACCGATATTGAAGCAGAATACCAATCCAATAGTTGCAAGATGTACATACCACCCTAGAAGAGACAAATATATATTTTGAGGAATCGTTATAAAGTCCTTCCGGAAAATATGTGTGCCCTCAAACGGACCCATCCTATTACTTACATTTGTTACAAACAGTATTGCCATTGAAAACATTATCAGACACGAAACTAAGGTCACCGCATATTTGTAAGGCCTAACCTTGGGTATCTCATCCAATACTGATGATATGATGGCTTCGATTTGCACAAACTAGGAAATAAATATGGAAATTACATTTTGATTAAAGAGTACAGATCCAGTTTTGAAAACATACCACACTATCCAAGCCCAATAGGAATAACATACAAAAAAATAATCCAGCCCATACTTGGGAAAATGGCAGCATAGCTATGGCCTGAGGATATGTAATAAATGCTAAACCTGGACCAGAGGTTGCCACATCTGCCACAGGTATACCCGTTTGATCTGAGAAGAAAGTCATGAATACCAGTCAATAAAAATATTTTTTTTTATTTATCGAAATTATTGATCGGTTGCGAGACTCTAGATCTAGATCATTGTATTCCTCAAAATTTCTTTAACTTACGTGATAAAAATCCCAATACCGAAAACACCACAAATCCAGCAAAAATACTCGTCGAACAATTTATAATCGGTATAAAGATGGCATCACCTTTGGCATTATTACGAAAATGATTAAAGCTGGCCATGTTCACAATGCCACCCCAGCCAGGACCCAGGGAGAAAAATATTTGTATGGCAGCATCAGCCCACACCTTTAAGTCCATGAGACGAGACCATTCCGGTTTAATATAAAATAGAATACCTTTCATGGCACCGGGCAGTGTCACGCCACGCACAAATAATATAAATAAAATAATGAATGGGAATGTGGCAGTAAAGTAAACAACTTTTCCAACCTAGGAAGGCAACAAAATTAAATTGCAGAATTGGCTTCGGTTTAACCTCACTTACCGTTTCAATACCCTTGATAATGCATACGTAGACCATAATCCATGACAAAACCAGGGCAGCAAATAACGACCATTGAATCGTTCCAATTTCATAGATACCATTCGATATTTTTAATATTTCTAAACTTTTTTTGGGAAAAAGAACGAAAGGAATAAATAAAAGATGTATGCAAGATGGTGCCCTACACCCCAACTGTTCTATAAGGCCAGTAAGGTGAATATATGAATCTAGTCGAAATTAATGCATACACAGATAATTCTGATAATTATAATTCTTCCGAAAATAGGCACACACAAATTTATTAAGTCGTCCGAGCACAAGTCCGTCTTTATAGCCGATTTATTATTTGTAGCTTTTATTATATCCTTCTCAGACTATATATGGGATCCATATCTAAATCTTATCTGATTTCAACAAAACCTCGAAAATCAATCTGGACCTAATTCTGTATTCTGTGCAAAATTTTGTGTCAAACATCCTATCTTTGGGCCTTTGATGCACCAATTACCTAAAATCGGACGAAAATATATATGGGAGCCATATTTAAATCTGAACCGACTTAAATCTGAACCGATGAATACAAAACTTGACATACGTTACGCGACGCTAACAGAACGTTGTGCAAAATTTTGCACCGAACGGGCTAAAATGCACCAATCTGGACCTAATTCAGTACGCTTTGTAAAATGTTATGTCAATCGTCCAAACTTTAGTGCACTACTGACTTAAAATCGGACGAATATATATATATATATATATATATGGGAACTATATCTAAATCTGATCCGATTTCAACAAAACCTCGCATACATCAACCTGGACCTAATTCAGTACGCTGTGCAAAATGTTGTGTCAATCGGGGTCTTTGATGCACCATTGACTTAAAATCAACAAAACTTCACATAAACTAATCTGGACCTAATTCAGTACGCTGTACAAAATCTACCCCAAAGGTAATTCCTATGGATTATTTTTCATGTTTATACCCTCCACCATAAAGTGGAACACCTCAAACATTCACCGGAGACCCCATAAAGTATACATATTTTTGATCAGAATAAAATTATATGCCGATTTATGCATGTCCGTCTGTCCTTTCGTCTGTTGAAATCTCTTTAAAGGTCCCCACATTTAAAATAGAGCTCTTAAATTTTGAACAGACATTGCTGGTACTTCTAGGATGTTTGGTATTGCAAAAGGTAAATATCGGTCCACGTTTTGGCGTAGCCCCCGCATTACGGTACCCCCAATATTCGGTATTTTGGGGATTTTGGACACGTTTTTCATCCGACTTGTCGTAGACAACATTTGTACGTTCTCGTAAAAAAAAAATAATAAGGTTTCCCAAAAATTACAAAGTTCTACAAAAATGTTTACAAAAAGTCAATACAGGGTTCCTAATTACAACAAAATAATGCTGAGATATCTTCAGCTACCAATTACGGATTACAGAACCTATACAGTAACCGGTTTAGAGAGAAGTTGTTGTTTCTGAAAATTAACGAAAATATTAACGAAGTCTACAATGAGGATGTTTATTATATGCGAAGTTGATTATAACCGTTGTTCCTTATACCCGATTTCTACTATGAAAATCTGTGTCTTTTCTCTCTATCTCTCCCTCTCTCTCTCTTTATCTCTGTATTTTCTCACTTTTAACGTCGCCGTTATTAATTGCCTTAAAAACGGGACAAATTACCCACAGTTCAATTGAACAAATGTTGCATGTTTGGCACAGGGTATACCATCTCATAATCTTCTTATAGACTTACTGGAAAAATTCATCTGCTGCTGTTTTAAATTCTCCACGTGTTGTAAAATTATATTTTGCCATCTAAATAATCAAACATTTTACATTAGTCCTCTCTGCCCGTTTAACTAATCGATAGTTGCATCTAAAACATACCTCTGTCACTTCCACACAATGATTTGTGTTCCACGAATTTTCACATGACTCCCAGGGTAATTTGGATGAGAATATATGTTTTAGGAACATCAACGGATATGATATTATAACTGAATAATATGTTGTACAGATAATATTAACAACTACAATAGCAAAACCGGCACCTAAAAATATAAAAATCGGTAATTAATACAAATGTTATGTTTTGTTTTATGTGGGTTGGTGGTACCTTTGAACAAAGGTGCCAAACGAAAAATGCCAATACACCCCAGACTAGAAAATTGTCCCATTATTATTTCCATAAAGAACAATGGAATGCCACAGAGGAATAACATTAAAAGGTAAGGAATGAGGAATGCACCTGAAATTAGAAAATAAGACAAAGATTGTAAAAAATGCTATGTAAATGTAGTAGCTAATCTACGTCTATTTAATAACTTAAAATTAACAATTTGTCATTTCATATGCTTAACATTAATTCTTATTTTCCTAAGCTTATCTCACTAATACATAACGTCGTGCAGTTTTACTGCTGATGTTCTGTAAACGGTACTATATATATCTAGTGTCCCAAACCTATGATGATAGAAGAGGAGCTGGTCAACTCTATATAGAAGACCTTCTTTGTTCAATGTGGCTAAACTGTTTGGAGGCTTGTAGTTGGCCCGAACTAACATTTCGACGAAAGGCTATCTCTAACTAACTTATTTTCCAAAGTTGCCGCTCGGTCTAGGAACCGAAAAGCGCTTACCATTCACCACTTTGTTAGCAGGTAGCCGCCAGATCTTATCTACTTCTTGTTGTGGCATTAAGTCCAAGCATGACCTAAGGATTCGCCACTCCCAAATGCGCAGCCTCTCCATTTGGTGGGAAGAGATTCCAAACCAAACAGGGAAGGCATACCCAATTAGTGGCCTTATTACTTGTTTATATATGTGGCATTTCTTTTCAAATAACCCTAAACAATGTGCAGTTAGGATTTTTGGGGCGATCTTTCACCAGCACAATGTAATACTTATTGGTCGATCCAACGCCACCAAATACCCACTGAAACTCAACTGCTTGGTTTCCTACCTTCGACTCATTAATCTCAACACCGGGTCGGCCAATTTCAAATTGAGTTAGAAGTTCGGTCAAATTGTCACTTCTCCGCGATATAGACAACTTGCCTATTATATAATATGTAGGGGAGACTGGGGCATCTTCGGCACTTTTTTTAGAGCTCTATATCTCAGTACTTATTCAACATATATAACAACTTTATGGCTGATCCTCTGACACTTAATTATAAAAAATAGTACCAAAAAGATATACAAAAATAGTATTAGTTAAAAAATTTATAGGACTTTATTTTCTAGCGGCGGACGTTTACATCTCAAGGTCGCGCACACCATCAGAAATAGAGGTTTTCTATCGCATTTTGTCAATACAAGCAGGTTTGATCTTATATATGCAATTTCGAACCATATTAAAGGATTAGTTTTAAAGAAAAACTCAAAAATATTTGAAGGAAATAATATTGCACAATCTGTGTGTGGCCGAACGTGCCCCACTTTAAAATGCCGAATGTACTTTTTACATCTATAAAAATATAAAAACCCATGTATCTTAATAAACTTATTAGCTAGAAATTTCAAACTTTGTGTCAGTTATTTATTTCGATATTCGATACCTATGTATCGAAACTAGTGATGTACGGTGAGAGCTTCATATCGAAAACGCGATTGCGAAGGTGCCCCAGTCTCCCCTACTAATTTTCCGTTTCTTTTCATCAATTTATATTTTTTAACGCATAAATATTTTTAATTTATTCTAATCAAATTTGAATATCTACCACACATAGTCATAATAATTTTAATAAGGGATCTTTTAACAGAATGGCACTTATTTGAATTTACTTTCATTGCTTTCAGCAATACATGATAATTTTACAACCATCTTCACATAAAAATTCTGCTTAACGAAATAAAAATCAATTGCACAAGTGCCATTTTCATTTTCAATACATATAATTCCACAAATAATAATTATGAAATTTGCTGAGGTATAACCGGTATATTGTTAATATGTATATATTTTATTTATTTCTTTAAATGTTTCAAAGAATTTCATACGTATAAAATATAATAAAAAATATACAAATTAACAACAAAGCAAAAACATAACTTCCTTCGAGCCGGATTTGAACCAGCGACCTATGGATATCTCGTCTGATGAAAACATGCGTTGCATAGCGGAAACGAAAGCCAAATGTCAACTGCGTAAGTTCGCGCCGATAATTTTGCGACCCGCTAATTGTTTGGAACCAACCTCTCCTTAACTACACAAGCTTAGCATAAGTACTACAGTCCACCGCTCTACCAACTGAGCTATCGAAGGCAATATTCGTTGTTGAACAAACAGCTACCATAAATAGCACAGACAGATACACCAAATACACATTGAATGTTTCTGTTGTCTGCATGTTACTAGTTAAGAACAGTATTAGTTCTTTGTTCCAGATATGACAAACAACGTAACACCAAAGACTTATCGTCCAATAAACCTAATCGTATGTATACACAAAACAATGAAACAGGCAGCGGACACCGTGATTATGTACACGTATATTAAAAGGGAGATCAGTGGAAATGTGGCCATGTGGTATTAAGAAACTTTCTGAATTAAATAACTAGTTCCCTGACCAAGTTGACACTTTTGCATGTATACATCTTCTGCCATGTTGAATGCAGGTAGTCGAATAAAGCTTTAGCAAGAAAGCAATGCAAAATTTCGTGTTGAATACAACTACTATAAATAAAATAGAGCTTTTCAACACTTTTGTTGGGAAGAACTTCTTTATGTTCTTCACCACGAGAAACACTTAGCCCTTTGAAAATAATTAAGCTACACTGGTCCTGTTTATTTCTGAGAACAACAATTGTCGTATAAAACAGTAAATTTTCCGAACAATTTGACTGAAATTTTGAACTAGGGGTTCAAAATCGATTTGTTTGGTGACTTCTCGAATTCGAATAACACATTGGCCGCATCGATGCAGGAAATCAAGGTCAATTGAATTGAGGTGGATATACATGGCTGGAGAATACAGACTTCTCACACTTGAGCCAGAGGTGTCGCAAAAACAGTTAAATGTGGAACAACCGATGTTAGATGCTCAATATGGTGAACAAATCAGTGTTCTTCATATATCGGTTGGTTACAAATGGGTTGATAAATTACCTTAACTAGCAGACCGTAATGTATCATATATCAGCCCATGTAAACGTACAACAGATTACTATAGAAAATCCACTTTATGACAAATTAGTCACTCAACAATGGGTGGCGTAGGGGATGATAGATACCAAGCAACGGCTCTGATTGGCTTTAACATGGCGAAGTCCAGGCTTATCTTGGTCCGTCTTTCATCTCAATTGTGGACACAGACCTCCCCGCGTTGCCAGCTGGGGAGCTGTTTTCATCCCCCGATGAAATAGTGAGCTAATATGTGCCGCGAGTTCACCCATAAAAACTTTAAAAAAAAAATGGGTCGAGGCATCGTAAAAAGGCGTATGAAAAAGCAAAGAAAAAGAAAACCAAACCCCCCTAATGTTGACGACCCCCGCAAACGTATAAAGTATCACGATATGCGAATCTGCACTTGGAATGTGCGCACGTTGTACAAAACAGGCGCAGTGTCAGCTTTGGCAGATGTACTCAAGACGTACAAAGCCGATATTATTGCCTTACAGGAAATGCGATGGAAAGGGACTGGCGTAAGTAAATCTGATCATTACGCCCTGTATAATAGCTGCCATGGAACGAAACATGAATTTGGCTGCGGATTTATGGTTAACAGGAGAATAAAAGACCTCGTCTCCAGATTCACTCCAGTAGATGAACGAATTGCTATAATCCGTATAAAAGCGAAGTTCTTCTACATCAGTCTCATTTGCGCCCATGCTCCGACCGAAGATAAATATGAACAGACCAAACCAATATTTTACGAGCGCCTAGAAACAGCATATGATCGTTGTCCTGGCCATGACATTAAAATTCTGCTAGGAGATTTTAATGCAAAAATCGGAAGGAAAATATCTTTGGCCCCACCGTCGGAAAATTCAGCCTCCATGAAGAAACAACAGACAACCGCATGAGGTTGATTAAATTCGCGGCAGCAAAAAACATGGTAGTTAGCAGCACCAGTTTCAAGCATCTCGATATACACAAAGCCACTTGGATTTCTCCCGATCGAACAACGAGAAATCAAATCGATCATGTTGTGATAGACGGAAGGCATTCATCCAGTGTTCTAGACATTCGATCGATCCGGGAAGCGAATATTGATTCGGACCATTACCTTGTGGCAGCCAAGGTACAAGGTACTCCGTTCCACTTACCCAACTGCTTGATGAAAGCACCCCTTGTCCCGATAATAATATAGAAGCACAAGTGCAGAGAATTGCCCACTCCCTACAAACTGCAGCAAAAGCAACATTTGGGTACCAAAGACCACCATCAAGAAATCCGTGGTACTATCAGGGGTGTCGTAATGCTACTGATATGAAAAACGCAGCGTATAGGGTAACCCTGCGAACAGTAGCGACACTTAATGCGAAACGTATTTTCAGAAAAAAGAAGAAAGAGCAAGAAAAACGTGAGCGTGAGCAAATCGAGATATGCAGGAGTCAGAATGAAGTCCGAAAATTCTACCAACGGGTAAAACACCAAACCGAAGGCTTTGGTGCAAGTAAACTCACCTAATCTAAATCAGGACATAGAACAAAATTCAGTATTAAAAACCCCATACCCAAAATCGGTCAGAAGAATATCGTGGTTTCAGGATTTCTGCCAGGATTATTTTTCAAACCGGAACACCAAATTACTGACATAGATTGGTGAGAACCTTAAAAATTTAGCTTTTATATGTCTAAACATGGAACGTTGAATAATCAACCCTATGTGTGGACACCAGTCCCGCTGAGTAAAATATTAATTTCCCCAAGGTAGGATAATCTCTCCAGAACTGTACAAACTTTACATTTGGTATATTTCACAACTATCTAATGGTATAGAAGTCGTAATGTATGCGGACGATTGTAGGATCATGGCGTCGGGTCCTATTATTGATGGCATATGTGAGAGGATACACGTCTACATAGCTGATCTTGTGAATTCCTTCGATCTGAGGAATATGAAAATATCCGCCAACTGAGTTGCTATTTGCAATAAGCTGAGAAGTAGGTACAAGGCCCCCAATTTACTGGCCAGCAGCACTGAAAAGGAAAGCTTGTTGATCCTTTATAAAGCAATGGGACGATCAGAAGTTAGCTATGCCGCGCCAGTGTTGTTTGCGAATGTTAGAGAATATACAGACCTGTCAGAATGCCTCCCTGTCATCAATGGGCAAATCAAATTTTGTCAATGCCGTACCTGCTTGGATGTTATCGTCGGGAACCCTCACATACCATGTCAAGAGATATCTTCATGATCTAGAGAGAACTTCAAAGTTACAAGCGTGTATCTCTAGATCAAAATGCTCATTAAACAGGTCTGAATATCATTCATACTGTGATACCTTCCATAGCAGCAAAGGAGACACGAGTATTCTTCGCACAGTTAAGATCTGGATTATGGAACTGCGTAAATTCCTACTGGGCACGAATTAATTGCTCGATGCTCAGCATGAGGACTAGGACCCCACGACACGTTGTACCTATTCCACTGCCCAGGTTAGCCTGCTCACTTCTCTCCAAATTCTAAGTGGATGCAGCAACCTTCCAGAATTTGGACACAGAGGAGTCGCAAACAGAAAACACTTTCCTGTACTTCAGTTGCTACAAAACATTGCTAAATTTATATCGAATTTTATTCTGATCAATATATACATGATAGGATATCCGACGATTACTCCGAAGTGTTTGCATTTGCAAACATTAAAATACTTTTAATTTTGAGTTTTATTTCGCCTCCTTTCCTTCGCTATTTATTCATTCTGCCTTTTATTTTATCTGTTTGAAAGGATATCATAGGAATATAACTTATGTAGCAAACATTTCGAACATTATCCTTAAAATCTTCACAAATATAACCACCTCCTCTTATTACCGCAGACATGTCATACAGACTTTAGATATTAATACCCTTTCCATACTTACCACCACCACTGCGATAACATAGGTATGGAAAACGCCATACATTGCCCAAACCTACAGCATATCCCAGACACGATAGAATAAATTCTGTTTTCGATGCCCATCTGCCACGATTTTCATCGGGATCATATTTGGCATTTGCTGTTGTTGTTGCTGTCGATTGTGAACTTTGACCTCCATGATGATGGTGATTTTCATCATACGAACAATACGACATTCTCGCCGCATCATTATAATGCAGTTGCAATTTGGCATTCGACATTGTGCCGGTGTCCGGAATTTCGACGAACGTTGCTGATGATGTTGACTAATTTACAAATGATGTCTAATTTCCTTGTGGGAGGTTTTCGTTTAAGTTGTTTGGCGTTTTTCTTCTTCTGTCCACTTTTTGTCTTCTAATTCACAACAAAGTTAATGGCGAAAAAAAATTGCATCTAAAAATAGGCAACCGCAATAATTTAAACAAATGGCACAATTTTTTAAGTGCCAATGTACCGAAATAGTATTTAACAGAAAAGGAAATAAATTGTATAGAAATACTTTTTTGCAAAAAAGCCGTTATATACTGGACTATTTTTGAAGTGGAAATATTTCACATTACACCGTGGTCCAGTTGTTTTAATGGGTTATGCACTTCGAATCTGTTTCCATAAGGTAATTGTTTCACTAGTAGCACAATATTTATTGTTAATAACATTTTAGAACTGCTTAGATCCTTATTTAATTTTCATTTCAATATTTTTTCTTTTCTTTGATCCTTAAAGGTATTTTTCTAAGTTCCCATTTTTTCTATATATTTTCCTTTTCAAAGTAAGATTTATTCCCACATACGACCCGCTTGAAATCTCGCCGTCAACTAAATTGATTCTAATGAACTTTTCTTAGATTTTCTAAAATTTTCATTACTTACTCACACATCTATTTCATTTTTACGCTCAAAGAAAAAAATCTGTTCAATAAAAATTGCCAATAAATCGGTGAATTACGATTTTATAGTTGACGATATCGTTAACGAAATGATAATATGCGCAGATTTTGCGATTTCCTTTGATATTAATCTGGATACGAAAGAACGTGTTGTGACCTGGTCGTCGAAATTCCTTTAAACGCGGACTACGATGAAAATACACACATTGACTACAGAGATAATACCGCCTTGTGCCGAAGCAATAATATGGGTGCCAATGTATGGAGATTGTGGAGCCGAGAAGTTGTGGGTGGTGGAACCGACAGGAAGCAGATACCGCAACATCTGAGTAACGAATGCCCTGGTGAAAAGCAATGATGACGGGCTGATTCCTGTTAGAGTTTCGAACCTGTCAGACAAGCAAGAGCAAATTTGCCAAAGCTGAAACTGTAATCAATTTGGAAACTTACATCGAAAAGTCATCTGTCATGGATAAGACGCACCTCGAAGAGTACGTACAAGAGTGAACACACAAATTATCACCTTCCGAAAGGAACAAGGCCAAGTATATATTATGGAAGCATGCCAATACAACAGATATGTAGGATAGTGGAGTCATAGAAGTCAAGTTCTTGGGTCTCCCCAGTTGTGTTGGTCAAAAAGAAAGACGGAATTAGCCGAGATATAATGGTTTTCCACCCTCTACCTGCTGATTTGGTACTGGCAAGTAAATAACCCCGAAAAAGATGAGGAGCAAACAGCGTTGGGCGTTAATGTCTCTGGCCAATGACATAGCCCTGGGACCCCCGAAATGAAATTTTTTCCCAGTAAATTTATGTTTGCAAAAGCGAATTTTTTCATTGAATCAACCAACAGACGCTAGAGGGTCATTTACTTAAAATCGGATGAAAATATATATTGAAGCTATATAAATCTGAACCGATTTCAGGAAAACTTGATACACGCAAGGCTATACTAACATCAGTACATTGTAAAAAAGTTTCTACTTCGATTTGTCGGCAAAAATTTTTGTTTTCATAAATATTTTGCGGAACTTCTCGTCACTATTTTATCGTATAGCATTTAAGTTATCAACTACTAAAAGTATGTGATCATATCAGGGACGTACGCAGGGGGGAGCCCTGGGGAGCCCTGGGTGAATGTGTTAGGTGAAAGTGCTCCTTCATATGCAGTGTTGCCAAAACTTTGTTGATAAAAAGTGCTAGATTTTGTTTAAAAAAATGCCAGAAAGTGCTAAAAAATTTAAAAAAGTGCTAAAAAGTGTATAAAAGAAATTAGTAGATTTAACTGTAATTTGATATTTTGGATTCTCATTAGGTACAAATTTCCCCACCAAAAATATCAATGGGAGTCTATGTTTCAGGGTAGGGCCTAGAGAACGAAATTTTGTGGACGTCGGTCACGTTTTTCCATAAAATTGAATATAATTTGAAACTTTTTATTTTAATGGTGTGTCAAATTTCCCCTAAAACAAGTAATACCAGTTTTTGGGGTTTTGGAGAATGGCATGCAGAAAACTGTCAAGGTGAGGCTTAGCACATAGTCCTCATATTAAAGTACTGGTCTATCTTCATCACTTTGAAGATTTATACGCATTCTCTGGGTTCTTGTAATATATTTTTGCGGATAATTATCTACACAGGTATATGTTTGGAAATATCCCCCATATAAAGGTTTTATCCTTCTTGCCCACTTTTAAGGTTGAGAACCTTTTCCGTTTTAAAACTAGGTTAACGGAACTTTTTCGATGTTGTTCGATCTTTTGACATAACCCCATTATAAAGTGGAACGCGGCCCATTTTCGGTACTCTGAAATGGCTATAATTTCCGGATTTACGGTGAATAAAAAGTTTAGGTTCATGATTTCTACATCACTCCCATGCAAAGGCCCACTATAGTAACCACGTGAAGTACCCGACAATTTTTTGAGAAAATGTTAATACACTACACATTGTGCAGTTCTGACCAGCCGAAGTTGAAGAGTTTTTAATTGTTTACAGATGTACTGACACTTTTTTAACATTGTAAAATCAAACTCATAGCGTGAAACATAGGGACAATTTAATGCGTCAATTTGAAATGGAATTAATACCCAAAATTTTAACTAATTCCAGAAAAAAATAAAAGTGCTAAAAAAGGTGCTAGATAACTTTTTTGGTGCTAAACGAGTTTGAAAAGTGCTAAATTGGCAACACTGTTCATATGCAACAGTAAAAAATTGGGTTGCTGAACTTAAACATGGTCGTACAAGCATTGAAGATGAACCACGTAGTGGACGTCCAAAAAACAGCAACAACAACAGAAATTGTAGCCAAAGTGCATGATATCGTATTAAATGATCGACTCTCAAATTATCAAGTCCATTTAATTTTACAAATGAAAAATCTTTCTGCAAGCGCATAAGAATGCACATTTCTCAAACCTGTTTGGATCGTTTTAAACGAAATAAAATGGATTTAAGCGTCGTTTCATAACTGTTGATAATCAAGGGATAGTATTGCTAGAAAATCGTTGGACTAAATGTATTGAAATTTCAGGAGATTAATTGAAAATAAAAATATTTTTAAACCAGTGAGCGGAGCTGTATAGTCGGACGGGGCCGCCCTACACAACTTACATGAAAATCTAACTTTCTGTGGTTCTATATTCTGAGATTGGGCAATATTTCGCGATATTTGCACACTTTTGACTGGCTAGAGGTCAGAAAATTTTACTTATAATCAGTACAGCCCCTCTAATAACTTGTCCAGATTCCCTTCACCGTGGGTTGTGTTGTGATGTTCGACTCGAAAAGTACAAATAATTAAGTTTTCGGTCATTGAACATTTCAAAGCGATCAGGCTATATATCCGCCCTAAAGTGTGGTAATAGGTTACTAAATAATATATGAATACGTAAGCACCTGTACATATTTAAGTGTAACTCCCGCATCCGAGTACCTACGACAATATGATTGGTATCAAATTAAAGATCAACCACTCCTCTTGGATATACTATCAACTTCTCGGGTCTATATCCTTCGGGGGTAAATATATACGCAATATAATAGAAATTTTGTAATTTTTCACATAAAAATCAGGGTCCATTTGACCCGCTAAATATTGACCGATCTTTATATAAACAGGCATGCTTATTCTTTGGCTCCATGTGAAAATTTGCGAAGATCGGGCCATAATTGCGGCCCCTTGAAGGACCAGAAAATTGGACAAAAATAAAGTTTTTTGTCCATTTCATCCCCTAAATATTAACCGATCTTTGTCAAAACAATAGGGGTCTTTATTGGCCAGAACCCATCCTACATGCAAATTTTCGTGAAGATTGGTCCATAACTGTGGCCTGTATCGTGTTTACAAATTATAATGGACAGACGGACGGACGGACACACATGTCTAGATCGACTCAGCTAGTCGACATATGACGACCGGTATACTTAAAGGTGGGTGGGTCTAGGACCAATATTTCGCGGCGTTACAAACCTTTGGGGCTGCACAAAGCTATAATACCCTGACAACATAGTTGTGTAGGGTATAAAAACTAACTATTCTCTTTCACTGATAAATTAAACACCTATTAAAATAAACGAAAATTGAAATTTGGGTAAGAAAAAAAACAGTTCGTTATAAAGAAGTTCCCTACATCCGTAATTCGCTATAAAAGTCAAAATTTGCATGAAAATTATATCTTAAAACTACGGGACCAAGAAATGTGTACTCTATAAGAAAAGTTCGTTATAACCGTTGTTCGTTATATACGCACTTGACTGTATGTGAGAACAATTTAAATGTTTTGGAATTACTTTATCTGTCGTTGCAAACTTTTCATAAAATTGACTTTCAAAGTGTATTTGCGTGAAATCTGTGTCTTCTTTAATGTACAAAAAGGGTTAAAACTGGTTGGGGCATACCAATTTTTTTATGTTTATCCTCGAATTGTGACTAAGCCACTCATTACACGGCCTTCGTGCCATAGGAAAAGAAAAAGCCTACAAAATGAGGATTACGATTCTTATGTACCATATTTCAAAAATGTATCTGCATCTATATCTTTCAGGCTTTAAGTAAAACTTCTTATTACCACAAAATCATAAATTCCACAAAATAATATTCAAAAGTTTATCCCCATTTCCTTATCATCAACGCCACTAACATCTTCTACATTTTTATAATTTTCGTTTACAATTATTCATTTTACTTTGCGCTTTTCTTTGAGTGTACGAATTATATTATTTACAATGTTGTTGTATTTGTTGTTGTCGCCAGATAATTTAAATAGATTTAGTCGTCAGACACCAATTTAAGTTCATTCCCAAAACTGAAGAAAACTAACCATTAGAA